CAAAAATGATCGCGAAACGCCATCTTTCTCGTCGATTATGTTTCCTCTGCGTGATCTAACGGCGGCTAACGTATGGAGATGGCAGCGACAAATCGATCGAGAAAGTCCGACCGCGATCGACAGGTCCGAATTAGAGGAAATGAAATAATTGATCGTGACCGATCGAAAAATCGGATGCAGTCGGATAAGAAAGTCCTATTAATAAGAGTGATGTGATTCATCGCTGCAAGCTGCCTGTTTCGTGCACGTTTTCTCAATTGGATGCACTACGATATCTATCGTGATAAACTGTCTTCTTATCGCGGCACAATCTGCCGCTGTATCGTTATCGTATCGAGTTCAGCCCAGTTTCGACGCCGCGGAGAGAAGAACGATCTCGAGTTTGCTCGCGAAGAAAATTGATCGTCTCCGAGACTCGTACGACGCGGCACGACACGACACGACACGACACGACACGACACGACACGACACGATACGATACGACGAAGAGCAAACTTTTATGTAACGTTGTGCAACGGCGAACGATTGGAAAACGGGCCGGACGCGGCCACCCCGCGTTCTATATTTCCCTGTTGCGCAACAGCTAACATTCAGTCTCGCGTCGAGTTTCACGTGTTTTCATCCTCGACGAATTCCCCGAGTTTAGGACTCGCGCGCGAGGAAAGTGAAGAGAGCCGATGCTTCGCTCTCCTTGCTGGTGGAATTTATATTTAGACTTGACGCGGCCGAGGATCGTGGCTTTCGACGGGCTATCCGAGACCTCGTGAGAGTTACTCGAAACGATCCTCGATCTCGAGGATGTTGTCATCTCTGCGGTTACCGAATTGACGCCCAAGAAATATTTCCAGAAATACACTCCGACACACCCGCCCGGCGCGTTGCTGCCTCCGATGAAAAATCGTGATTCGATATTTGAATTGAACAGGAGGAACAAGGGATTAATCCTTGAGATCGTTATGACGCCCTCCGGGTGGGGGCGATATGTCGATGATAAATCGGATCGAAAGTGCAATTTCGATCAGGGCCGATATGGCATACACCGTGAGCCAGAGCAACGCGTATAATGCGATATTACCACGTCGATGGCCTTGGACCATCAGACTTTATACATATACGGAGGTATTGCTCGGACGCAGTGACGTCACGCACCTTCTGGTTTACGGTGAACCGGAGGAACAACGCGCGGAAAATACCCACAATTTACCATCTTCTTTTTTTTTCTATCTATATCTAGATTATACAGGGTGTTTCGTAACTTGTGGGACCCACTTCGGGAGCTGATTGTACGCCTAAAAATAATGAATATATGTCCTATCTGTCTTCGTTTATGAGATACAATGAATTTTATAAACTCTAGTAAGCAAACTCTAGTAAGCTAGTTTTACCAGGGATGGTATATTCAATTTTCATAATAATCATAATTGGGATGAAGAAAACCCACATGTTATTGTGCATTCAAAACATC